GGACCAGTCGAGTACGTCAAGCGTCAGTGAACGCTTCCAAAATTCTGGGGATATTGAATCTACGTAGCCCCGTAACCTTCATACCTATATCTTTGTACATATATACTTTCTACTCATCTAGACTTCTTTCCAAATCGAAATCCTCTCCAAAACAACTCCTGCATGCCAAAAGGTTTCCTTCGCTCAGTTGCGTCACGCCGCCGCACACCCAGCTTCAACACCCACCACGTAACCCCAGAATAAGCGCACGCGTATACCAGTATCGAAACCCAAATTATAAGAATGGTCAACCACACCAACCTACCTACTAAATCCAAGAGCACGTTGTCGGATCCAATCGAGAAGTAAAGTCGTATCGCACGACCCATAAGCTCTACTCCAAGGCCTACCACGAAAACCCGGCTGCTTGCGTATATATCACGCCGAAACACCGCGTCCATGAACGTGAGGAAAGAAGCCTTGGTTAGCACATAAACGTCCTCGTCTGTGAGGGTGCCCTTGGCTAGCGCTTTCACGGCACACAGTGCGCGTCTGCGCCATTTGAGGGGGGTGAGGATCTCAAGGTGGAAGTCGTGGTGTTGATCTATGTGAGTTATCCATTTTGTATGCACCAACCAACGGAGGAACTTGACTTCGAGATTTTCGTCGCCAACCGAGGGTTTCAGCGTGGGATGGAGGTGGTGGGACCAGTAGGGGCACGATTGGGGTGCGCGGTTGATCCATTCTGTGAAGCATGAGTGGCCGATGATGTGGCCGCAGGGATGGAGTTGGATTGCTTGGCAGCCTTCGGGGTCGTGTGGGGAGTAGGGTGTTTTGCAGATGAAGCATTCGGCTTCGGGGACTGGGTTTGGGAGTGGCGTGTAGGTGTATGTGTATTGGTCGTTGAAGACGTTGCTGAGTCGGTAGCGTGACATGATTGCGGGTTGCAACGGTGCATGTATTGATGGGTTGCGTACGCGGTTTTACACTCGTAGTCGGCTAAGGTAATCTGGGCAGTGTTGTTCAGATATGTGAGAGAGTAGTGTATCTGTTTAATGGTGTAGGCATGCACTGTGAATTACTGTGCTGAAAGCAGGTGGACTAGTGAATTGTATGCATGATTATAGTGAAGATTGCCGAGAGGTTCTTTGCCTTAAACGCCACTAGGGTATACAAATCTATCGTTGGGTGTGAATGACAGTCATCAATCTATCAGTATACATGCCCATAGGCCCCAATATATCCTGAACGAACACAATCCTCGCAATCAGATCCGCAGCATTCTCCCAAATGTCTAATACAAAGTAACCTCCGTGACCCATGCCAGAAGCGGACCCAACGAAGTGCAATCCACATCCCCTGACTCTAGTCCATATTCAGGATTCCACCCATGAACACGTCCAACCTGACCACCACGGCGAAGTCCGCCAACTTCCGGTCCAATCATTCTAGCAAAGCACATATTGGCTGACTGCTCCATGGAAGCTGGACCCTTGTGGCTACCTGACTGACCCTGAGACACTGGATCATACTCGATGCACAAACCCTTTATAAGGTCCCGGTTCTCGCTATGATCATCCTGCACGACACGGTGATCTGTTATGAACGAGTCCGCCGACGAAGGTGATCCTGGAACATACTTGGCAAGATCGGTAGGATTGGGTTTCCAGGTAAGACTCTCTCCGTCCATGAGAAGCCAGATAAATCGTGGCTTGGGCTCATCGGCAGGGAAGTAGAGGGCTCGAAAGTGTTTTTCGCTTGGCCGGGTTTGAAAGTCCTTGAAAGTGCTGCAGATGGTATCATGCTGTGGCGCGTCTTCTTGTCGACAATTTTCGGAACAGTAGCCGATATTGCCGCATCCAGTACATGCGGTAGTCCATTTCTTCATACACATGGCGCAACCGTCGACTTCATCGGTCCTATGGCAGTCTTCGCTGTTAGATGTCATCTTACCTTGGAGTGTCTGTTGTAGACTGGATGCGTAAGGAAGTTGATAGATATAGGAACAACTAACGTTTGCTATCAGCGTCGCGTGACGAGCCGTGTGATGAATCCACGGACGCACGCCAACTAAGGAAAAAACTAAACAGGCCTGCAGCCTACATTAACTTAAAACCCTACAAGATAGATAACTTAGCGTTAATGTAGGCTCTAGACTTGTTTAGTTTTTTCCTTGTATAAGGTGGATGCATTAGCTTGCTTGTCCAGCTAAGTCAGCCAAAAAGAGCAAAAAAAAGAGGAAAAGGACAGAAAGAGCGGCATGGGTTCGAGAGTCCCCATTTCAGATCTGGGGCAAAAAAGAGCAAAAACATACAACAGCGGGGATTCGCTAGTGGTCACCCACCTAACTACTAATCCGCCGGTATCATGCTTGTATATGGCTGAGCGGACGGGAAGCCTAATTTTCATGATCCTATGGTCGTATGTATCAGTTTAAGCAATCTGCAGCTTCATATAGCTGTCTGAGGTGACGTGGGGGCTCAAGTAGCTGAATCGAGTCGGTCCTAAGATGAAGAACGCCATGCCAGCAACCACTGCACGTCATGCGCGAGTTTATCAAAGCCATTGATCAACGTTGTCTCTCATTTCGTCGTCACTAATACACTTAGCCCTACACCCCCATATATACACCACTCAACTCATCTAATCCATGACCCAGAAACTCAGTTCTTGTCATCAGGGCTGAAGTTGATCGACACACCGTTGACACAGTGTCTCTCATCTTTGGGGTTACCGAACCTCTCGCCCTTGAAGATATGTCCCAAGTGACCCCCACAGTTATTGCAAACAATCTCCGTCCTCATCATGCCAAGACCAGGATCAGGCTTCTGTCCCACGGCGCCAGGGACGGCATCCCAGAACGCGGGCCATCCGCAGCCAGAGTCGAACTTGTGGTTTGCCTTGTAGAGGGGCGCTTCGCAGCCGGTGCACTTGTAGACGCCGGCGTCGGGGTAGTGCTTGTCGAGTGAGCTGGAGCCGGGCATTTCGGTGCCTTTCTTTCGGAGGATGCGGAATTGCTCTATCGTAGTGTTAGTGACCGTGCGCTGGTAGTTGGGATAGGTGCTGTTGTACCTGGCGATAGCTGTGCCTGCCACTCGCCCTCGGGCTTTTGAACAGGGTAGTTTGTGTTATCCGCCATACTGCTAGAAGATCCGAAAAGGGCGCCCAAGAAGGGGATATTTGGCATCGAACGGTAAATGACTGCGCGCTGTGGCGTGTTGTAGATAGTGCGACCGAGCGTGCTAGCAGGACTCGATCGGATAAAAGCGCTTGTTGTGTTGGTGACCGTGTGGAAGGCGCGGAGGAATGTGGGGAAGGAAGGGAAGCGCATATGGATTCGTTCTACGGGAAGGTGGTGGTGGTTGTTCTGGTGGAGTATTTGTTCGTCGGCGGATTGGAGATGATGCGGAGGGGTGGCGGAGAGCTTCCGCCACCGAAGCTTTGACAAATCGAGTACATGGCGTCATCAATGTCGCGCGCCATCAACACCATCTTTCGTGCGACATCGTGATTAACGCGACTTCATACCTCCCTGGGTAGAGTCTCTTATCGTGTCTGATTTCGGATCTAATATCTTGTGAAGCCTGAGATCATGCTGGGTCGACTTGTTGCCGCAACTCGGGGTTCTCGGCGCGCCCATCACGGCCTATCATCGCATATGTTCCTTTCGCATTCGGGTGTTCGGCACTGGCAGGTGGCAGGATGCATCGATGATACGATGCTGACTGCAGATGTGGGCCAAGGCTGACTACAACTCGCTAACATGTATTGTGAACGTTGTGCTGCACGCCTGAGCATCGTCAGATTGCTGTATCCTGCGAACAGTCCACGTACCTCAAACCTTACACACGCTGGCATTGTGCGTGTTGGCCGCCCACGACATGGATTCTAAGGAAAGCGAGCAGGCGAAGGAGATCGTGGCATCGACCCCAACATCATCGAGCACAAATCCGAGTCCAGACCCAGACCTACCAATATCCTACGAGCCCAAGCCTTCACGTAAGCCACCGCCGCAACATGGCAAAACCGCAACTGGAGCACCCGTCAATCCGCAGACTGCTTCTGCGCTCGCACAATCGCGTCACAAAGGCAGCGGCGTCCCAGCATCAACCCTCGCCGCCCTCATGGCAGAGCCCGAGCCTGAGCCGGACACCAAAGAAAAGAGATCGCTGCGCGAGCGCTGGAAAGACTGGAAGGAGAGGAAATCGTATGACAAGAATGACGAAGAACCGGCATGGCAGATGCGCGGAAGCTCCACGCAATGGAATGTTTTTGGTTCACCCGTGAGCGAGGGGAAAATAGAGAAGGGTAGAGGTTGGAAATAGGCGTATCGAGTAGAGGAAATCTTAGTAAGTCGTCTTAAATGAGTGAGGGGAGGCAGATGCTAACGAGAGGATGTAGGTGGGGTAGAAGCCGAATGATTAGAGCAGGAACCATGATGGCCGATGGTACATCATCACTCCTTCCTCAACATCATCGAATTTAGCCACACAACTTCCTTCCTACGAAATCATCATCCCGCTTTCCTTTCCTCAAATTACAACGTCACAACCCCACATCCCACCAAGTCCCTTTACTTGAACTGCCCCTCAACATCCCCCATCGGCCCCATCGCCATCTCAACCGCCCTCCTCGTCGCCCCATCCAAATCCTCCTCCTCCATCCCCAACACCCCATTATCCAGACCCCCCTCCCTCTCATAATCAGCCCCCTCACTCCTCCAAACCCCCGCATAAAGCGCCTTCGCAAACCCCAACATCTTCCCTTGCCCCACCTCCCTCATCCCATCCTCAAACCTCTTCTCCACATCCTCGTATCTGATCGTCCAATCCGCATCTCGCGTCCCGAGCACCCGGTGTAAACTATCCAAGATATCGCGTTGGGAAACCAGGAAGGAGGAAATGTAGACACCTTCGTTCCTCCACTTCTCCAACGCGACACCATCGGTGGCATCTTGACGATGCACGGGAAGAGACAACAACCCCGCAACAGCCCTCCCACAAGCGTCCCACGTACTGACATTAACCTTCTTCATCCCGTCTCCATACATCGTCACGCTCCTCTCGCGGATCCGGAAGCCAAACCACGGTTCCCCCATTGCGAGACTGAATTCGTACCAGAAGCCGCATACAAGCGCTGTGTAATCGACTCCTGGGGTACTCTTCACATCATCAATGAAACGCTCGAAGTTGGCGGGTAGTTCAGCCTTGCAACTGAGTGCGCGGTCGCCGATGCCGTAGCCGAAGTAGTTAGGCATGATCCAGCGGATTTTGGCAGCTGCGGCGCAGGACACGATGCGGAGATGGAGAGTCGGTGGGGCGCGTGCGGAGAGGGTTATGATGAGGAAGTCGTGGTTTGAGAGGGCGGAAGTGAGGGCTGCGTCGTTGTCGTAGTCGACCTTAACGACGTCGAGGTTGGGGTTGGTGGGAAGCGTGGCGGTGCTGGCATGTCGGGTTAGAGCTGTGACTTGGTGTTTGCCCGCGCCGAGGAGGTGGGTGAGGATGTGGGAGCCGACTTGTCCGGTGCCCTGATGGTGTCAGTGGGATGGATGGAGGATGGGATGTGGAGGGGCCTACGCCGATGAGGGCGACTTTGCGGATGTGGGTTAGTTCCTGCGTTGCGGAAGACATTGCAGATTCAGTACGACGCTTTCAAAGTTATACTGATGCGAGGAAGCGATATCACTTTGGCTGAATTGGCAGAAGGAGTTGATGGGCGCTTTGTGGTTTACAATTGCTGTCTCCCGCCCATCTTTATACCTGATCACGTCCATCTCAACAACCCGGCTACACAAGATTTCAGTTACAGATTGGGGATGACGCTAACCTCACGTCGTATACCAGACTGACATCAAGCCACAAAAGTCTTACGTCCCTCTAGATCTTGTCAGCTAGTATAAGCTAAGTCCGCTTAACGCCGAGGCCGTGTAAACAGTCGCGCTGATGCGGCATCCAAAACACGTTCATTGCCACCCTAGCTATGTCCAGCAAATGCTCATCGAGAAAGAACGCGCCAATATCTTCATAGACTATCAACTGGAGATTGGCGGTACAAAGACTGCGAATGTTGTCCTACAATTTGGATACACCGAACGAAACGATAGCATTATTGGACGGATAGAAACAAATCGGAGGATAAGCCACAACAAGGTGTTTCACAAGCTTGTTTACGATCACAACACGTAGTGGTTGCGATGATGTAAGACGCAACAACTCCGATCGGCCATTCGGTGGCAACCACCCACCGAGCTCACACATATCTTCCCGACCGCTCAACAAGCCTCATACAAGTTCTCATCTATTGTCCCGCTTCTGATGTAATAAATACCGACTACATCCCCCGTCTCACCACTCGCTGATTATATGGTCCAACATTGTTCCGCACCACAGTCCTTCGCTTAATCAAACACCATACCTAATAGCTCCCAACCACATTCTCAATCTCAATACTAGGCTGTATATACGGCACAACCTTCGTCCTCACCATAGTCCTCTGCTCAAACGCATACGCAAACCCAATCAGACTCTCCTCACTCCACAGCGCACCCGCAAAAGAAATTCCAAACGGAATATTCGGTGCTGTAGCATTCAAATCACCGCGTGAGTTCGTGACAACCGTTGTATTGGGCGGCAGCGCACCGAGCGGAACAGTAACGATAGGTCCGCCAATGATAGCGGAAATACCAGATGCAGAGCGCGAAGGAACAACGACGGCGTCAAGGTTGTATGTAGATAGTGCACCGAGGAGACCGCCTTCGCCACCGAGGTACAGGTCTTCTTGGTAGGCTTCCCAGAACTCTATGTCGGTGTTTGAGAAGTTTTGGGATTGCGCGATGGAGCTGTCGAAGTCTGCTGTGTCTCTGTCGGGGTAGTCCTCCTGGGGGAAGTTTTGGGTGAAGTTGCGGACGTCTTCTAGGCTGTGGACGTCGTTGGGGTTGTATGTGAGTTGCGAGAGGTAGTGTGCTAGGTTGGGGACGAAGTCGCCGTCGAGAACGATGCCTTCGGCGTTGGATTCGAGGTACTGGTCCCAGGCGGTGTAGTTGGTGTTGTCGACGATGACTGCGCCGGCGGAACGGAGGACGTCGAGAGCAGCTGTGAAGGCAGCGTAGATGGGCGCGGATTGGGGACTGGGCGTGCCGATAGCGTTGCGCGGTACTCCGATGCGCTTTCCTTCCAACGCATCCAGAGTGCATGCAGCTACGTAGTCGGGCTTGGTGGCATTAGTGGCGTTGCTCGCCCAGGGAATGGCAGATGTGTAGTTATCGTAACTGTCAGGCCCAGCGATGGCTTGGAGAATGTAGGCTGCATCTTTGACGGTGCGGGCCATTGGCCCAACGGTGTCTTGATGCTCAGAGATCGGAATAACAAGTGCTCTGCTTGTAAGTCCGACAGTAGGCTTGATGCCGACAACATTGTTAAGCTGGCTGGGAGAGATGATGGATCCATCCGTCTCTGAGCCGAGTGTTCCAAAGGCAAGACCGAGACTAGCAGCGACACCGCTACCACTACTGCTGCCACTTGGGTCTTGACCAGGGTAATACGCGCCATACGTTTGACCACCTCGAGCAGTCCATCCATTCGAAGAGTTCGAAGATCGATAGTTAGCCCATTGCGAGAGATTGGCCTTGCCGAGGATGATGGCACCAGCTTCTCTCAGTTTCGCAGCGACCGTCGCATCACGTGGAACTTTGGCACCCATCAGTGACCAAGATCCAGCAGTGTTGTTCATTTCGTCAGCGGTAGCGATATTGTCCTTGATGAGAATCGGGAGTCCATGGAGAGGGCTGCATTCAGTCAGCGAAGGATCATGCAGTTTCTTGCAGCACAACTTACCCACGAAGCTTTCCACAAGCTCGCTCCTCGTCCAACTCTTTCGCGATCGTCCACGCATCTGGATTGATCTCCAATACTGCATGCAGAGTCTTGTTGACTTCGATGATGCGTCCCACATAAGCCTACATTATGTCAGCGATGCTGTCCAAGGTAGATCCATGTCTACACATGTTGGCAAGAAAACCGGGAACCTACCTGAACTAAATCCAAACTTGTAAAATCACCAGCCTCAAGACCAGCAGCCAAGTCGTCTGCGGTAGCATCCAGCAATAGAGGCAGTTGAGGTGTGGTGACGTTGTACTGTGCGTACACAATCGTCGTAAGTGGCGCAAAAGCCACAAAGACCTTCGTTAGAAACCACGCCGAAACCATGATGACGGTTGCGAATGCTACCGTTCGGTAGGAGAGCGACGAGTGGATGCGGTATCGAGCAAGAGCTGCTTCATTACTGTGTACGATATCATGTGTCTTATAGTCATGCTTCCCGTGGTGACCCGAGAAGGACTGCCGCCATGCACCCATGTCTGACCGGGATCATGCTGCGCGCGCGTCTTCCCCGCGGTGCAAATGCAAATTCGATCCTGGAAATGTATCGATCTGCATGATATGAAATACAGATATGCGATGTCACCCTCCAATTTGTGCCCGTTGTTGCGAGGTAATGGCAGGCATGCAGGTACTGTTCATCTGATCGACTCGCCACACCCTGGTACCTGATCAGCGCAATACACCGGTGTCACCCGAACCAAGTATTCGAGCAGCCTGTAAGCCCGGATTTCTCACTCAGCCGTTTCTCAATATCATAAACATCTCGAGCGCTCATTGTGTAGGCTGAGAAACTGTCGATGCGATTGCGGCAGGTAGAAATGCAGATCTTGGACGAGAAAGGAAGGTGCTAAGAGAAAGAATCGTGATCTCGAGCTTGACAAGTGCCCGCGGATGTCTAACGGGCTGCTGGCGACGGATAGTTATCGATACGGCTAATGCATTTTTTCCATGATGTAAACATGGAGGTCTGTTTGGAGTTTTGGAGTGACCATTGCTATCGACCTGCCGTAATCGGCGCCTCTGGCTGCGTCTTACCTCCAGAACCTTGGTCAGCCGTCGGGCGCATGCATAGATTCTTGATCGGGGTAGGTATTTCCGCGTTCCTAATATTGGAGTATATCGTAGTCAAATGTCATGCGCCTTTGTCAATGGCGCGCTTAGTAGCATTTGGCGTTCAGTCGAAGTAGCCAGGGAAGAGCCACTGGAGCTTCTTCTCGGCCTCTGATCCGCGTCCCTCCTTCTTCGTCATGGCGCCTGCGAATCTCATCTGTCCATCGAGGTGCTTAGCAAGCACCTGCTCCGTGTGCTCCTCCTTGCTGAGCTCGTTCAGCACTGCGCCAACGAACCGCCTGGCGTTCTCGGCGTTTGCTTTCATATGTGCCATGACCATCTCCACGTTGACGTCCTCTGATCCATCGCCCCTCCAGCAGTCGTAGTCTGTTGCCATGCAGATCATCTGGTATCCGATCTCAGCCTCGCGCGCGAGCTTTGCTTCAGGTAGAGCAGACATATTGATGACGCTGCCGCCCCATGAACGGTAGAGGTTCGACTCGGCGCGTGTGCTGAATTGCGGTCCCTCCATGCAAATGAGGAGTCCCTTCTCGTGGAGGGTGATGCCGTCTCCCTCCAGCGCATGTCCGCACTGCCTGACGATCTTGGACAATTGCTTATCGAAGGGGTCGCCAAAGCCAACGTGTCCAACCATGCCCCCCTCAAAGAAGGTGAATGGCCGGATGCCCTTTGTACGGTCGATGATTTGGTCGGGGATGACAAAGTCGCGCGGTCGCACTTCTTCTTGGAGAGAACCAACGGCGGAGAAGGCAATGATGGTGCGTACACCGATGTGTCGCAGCGCGGCTATGTTAGCCTGGTTCTTGACCTCATGAGGCGCGAGTTCGTGGTGGAGGCCGTGGCGCGAGATGAATGCGATGGGGATAGGCTTGCCGGTCGAGGGCGACGGGTGTTGTAGGATGGAGACGGGTGATGATGGTTTGCCCCATGGTGTGTCGACGTCGAGTGTAGCGGCGAGGGTGAAGCCTGGCAGGGAAGAGATACCAGTGCCGCCTATGACGGCAATGTGAACGGGCGCTGTGTACAGGGTAAGCATTTGGCCCGACGAGCACGGGACGGAAGGTACGTACCATCGTAAGTGCTAGGAACGCCAGCCATCTTGCGATATGGAATTGAGACGCGTCTAAATGAAGTGCGAGGTTGGAATTGAGGTTTGAAGAAGTTTGGAAAGTGTTTGACGCGTAGAAACATGCGCCGAGGGGTGTCGCGATAACATTTTCTGCCATGGCGGGGTGCTCCTTCCCCCGGGCCCTGATGGCGTATGCTTCAGCCAATCGGAGCTGACAGGAGTTACACGCTAGCGGCCTTCTTTGGGCAGCTTTCCCTCACATGCTGCCCATTACTCTCACGTCCTCAGCATTTGATTGCATGTTCAAACTGATGTCTTCTATTCGTCGCAAGGCTTCACCCATGGATACCCATCCACTCATCCCTCATCGCCTCCGCCAAATCCCAAACCTGCCCCTCATCCACCACAAACTTAACCTTATACATCTTCATCTTCTCCACCTGCGCGTCGTCAAATAGCATTGCCATCGCCCCCTTGCAATGCTCATCTCTCTCCTCCTTAGTCTTCGCCTCTGTCACAAAACGAATCACAATCTTAGCCCCAGGCTTCAGTTCGAAGATGCCATCGAGAGCCTCCCGCATTCGCTCCGGTGACTTTGGTATGCCAAACA